TCAATATCTGCTGTTACTACATCATTTCCCACTTTTCGTATCCAGTTGTGCAAGGCACATCCAGCTTTTATTAGTTTCACTACTGTTTGAGGAGCAAGTGATATTGGGGATCTGAATACACGAAAACGAGATGACATGATTCCAAAAGCGTTTTCTACTACACGTCTCGCTCTACAGTGTCTATAATTGAAGACTTTCTGTGCAATAGTTAATTGGTTTCGTCGGGGATAGGGCTTCATTAAATATGTTTTAAGTGGAAATGCTTCATCTCCTAATATAACGGATCCGTCAGGTTGATGCAATAAATTTCCCTCAAGCGCTTTTTGAAGAGAGGACTTAGCAAATATTCCGCCATCTGAAATGCTGCCATAACTCCCAATATCAATAAAAGTAAAATTATAATTATGATCCACCATTGCCAGCAGTACAATGCTAAACGTGCCTTTGTAGTTAAAGTACTGTGAACCGGAATTAGCAGGGCACTGGACCAAAACATGTTTACCGTCAATTGCTCCTATGCATTTGGGAAAATTCCAGCAAGTTTCAAATCCATTTATAATTTTGTTCCACTCGTTCTCACTTTGTGGTACCTGGAAAAGAAAAATCAATTGAAAATAATATTTTATTTATTAATTATTATTATTATTAGCAATTGAAATAAATTGAAAATAATATTTTATTATTGTTTTTGTTGCAGATGTTGCCAGAACAATTTCCAGAAGAAAATCAGACAAATGCACAGCCCGCAACATTAAATGAAGAACCGACGCAAGAGCCAGGGGAGCATATAGAAACCCCTTCTGTCAACCCAGTAAGAAATACACAGACAAGTTTCAAAAGTTTCAATGCACGGCCTGGAACAGCAAATGAAGAGTCGACACAAGAGCCTATAGGGAGTGTGAAGAAACCCCTTTCGTCAACGAGAAAAACAAAGACAAGTGGCAAAAGGCCCGCGAGTAAAGGAATAAATAAGGAGGATGATTCTTTGGACCAGGCTGTGAAAGTTCTGAAACAGGTGGCATCCCAAAAATCGTCTGTTCCTTCCAATGAATTTGATGCCTTTGGACAACATGTTTCTTCCCAACTTAAGTGCCTTCCATTACAAGATGCAATATTACTACAGCAGGATATCCAGAAACTAATAACCAATGTTCGCCTACGTTGTGTGCAAACGCAGAGTTCATCTGACAATGAAACACAGGCCACTTCTAGCTCAGTAAGGGATCTACAACAAGATACAGAGCCGTCAAATTCTTCAGGAAATGAACAATATCATAGCCTGCATGAGGTGCAGAAACCAGAGCCACGCCTCATGAATTTTTTCAAGAATTGGACTGGAGATGATGAAGATAGTTACGATTTTTATTTAGAATAGATACCTACCTATCTTATGCTTAAAACTTTTATGAAATATACTGTTTCTTTTGTATTTTTTTTTTTTGTTTTATAAAAGACATATTATAGGTAATTAGGGTTGTGAATAACTATAATAATAAAAATAAATTAGGTAATTAGTATGTGTTAATTAATGATTACGAACGTACCATAACATAATCTTTCAGCACTTCGTATATGGCATCAAAGACGTCTGGTAGAAACTGGCTTATGGTACATTTTGGAACTCGGTAAAGGTACTGCAAAGATCCCAGTGAGTCGCCAGTAGCAAGATATCGAAAAGCTATTTGAAGTTTTAGCTTTGCTGATAAAGGTTCTCGCATAACAGTATTATTCTTTTGTATCTTGCTGCTAACCTTTAAAAAACATAGGTACTTAGTTAAACGGCTTTTATATCACTTCAAAATTTGCTTACCTTATTCAGTAACGTATTAAACATTTCCTCATTCAGGCGTAAGAAGTTTAAAAAACTTCTTGGGTCTTCTACAGCAAGTTCCTTGAGAAGTATTTCTGAAGCACCAAGTGTCCTCCTTCTTGCAATCCATTTTCTCACCCATATCTTCTTGGTTTTTTTATTTCTTTTTCGTTTAATTTTAACTATTTCACCAATTACAGCAGCTACCGCGTCAGTTAACTGCGTATCGGCCATTTTGCTATTGATTACTGTCACGATAGTTTTTGGTAGGTGTAGACACCTCACTTTCACGATAGGACTATCGAGGTGACTATCATGAGAGCGCTGTCATGAGAGTACTCTCACCGTGAAAACGAGCCTTAAGGTCCTGACCTAACCCCACAATCGCAATAAAGACAGATTTTTTTTCTCAAGTCGAGGATTTCGATGACTTACCTTTAACAATCGACGCCTTTAAGAAGAACTTAGGCAGATTTAATTGACGGTGCACACGAAATTTAAAACTCAAGTTGAAAAAGAAACTGAGAATAGAATAAAATGAACGGTGCATACGGGCATAAGTCTCTGATTTGGAAACATATTTTTCCTACGAGCGTGCGCAAAGTAGTACTTTTCCGCACGCATTTCGGTTCTCAAAGTTGCACTTTTCCGCACTCAGTGCGGATACAGGCCTTATCCGCACTGAGTGCCGAAAAGTAATTATAATTGTCAAGCAACAATAAGTGCACCTGTCGACTTTGACACATGATGACAAATTTTTCCTCTGTTTCTATATCAGCCAACATCTATACAAACACCAAATATAAATTAACTTTGACACATTGTCAGATTTGTTCTCTATTTATATGCAAAAATCTACAAACTTTCTCATCAAATTTAAACGCTTTAAGATGAACAGCTCTGATGAGGATTTTCTGTTTTTTTTTTTTGTTATGTAATTTTTTGATAAATGCATAGGTTCCCTTTAAGTTAATTAAAAATAATTAAACAAATTATCGTTTTTTTTTTAAATTTTTGTTATTACCTACCTGATATGAAGCTCGTAGGAAAAATTTTGTTCCTAACACGTGCGCAAAATGTCTTTTCCGCACGCAAACACGTATCCGAACTCCGCTTCGCGTCGTTCGTATAACTGTGTTTGCGTGCGGAAAAGTAACACTTTGCGCACTTGTTAGGAAAATAACTATTTCCTACGAGCGTGCGCAAAGTAGTACTTTTCCGCACGCATTTCCGGGCTCAAAGTTACACTTTTCCGCACTCAGTGCGGATACGGGCCTTATCCGCACTGAGTGCCGAAAAGTAATTATAATTGTCAAGCAACAATAAGTGCACCTGTCGACTTTGACGCATGATGACAAATTTTTCCTCTTGTTTCTATATCAGCAGCCAACATCTATACAAACACCAAATATAAATTAACTTTGACACATTGTCAGATTTGTTCTCTATTTATATGCAAAAATCTACAAACTTTTTCATCAAATTTAAACGCTTTAAGATGAACAGCTCTGACGAGGATTTTCTGTTATTTTTTTTTGTTATGTAATTTTTTGATAAATGCATAGGTTCCCTTCAAGTTAATTAAAAATAACAACAAATTATCGTTTTTTTTTTTAAATTTTTGTTATTACCTACCTGATATGAAGCTCGTAGGAAAAATTTTGTTCCTAACACGTGCGCAAAGTGTCTTTTCCGCACGCAAACACGTATCCGAACTCCGCTCCGCGTCGTTCGTATAACTGTGTTTGCGTGCGGAAAAGTAACACTTTGCGCACTTGTTAGGAAAATAACTATTTCCTACGAGCGTGCGCAAAGTAGTACTTTTCCGCACGCATTTCAGTACTCAAAGTTACACTTTTCCGCACTCAGTGCGGATACAGGCCTTATCCGCACTGAGTGCCGAAAAGTAAAAATAATTGTCAAGCAACAATAAGTGTACCTGTCGACTTTGACATATGATGACAAGTTTTTCTCTGTTTCTTTATCAGCCTACATCTATACGAACACCGAATATAATTAACTTTGACATATTGTTAGATTTGTTCTCTATTTATATGCAAGAATCTACAAACTTTCTCATCAAATTTAAACGCTTTAAGATGAACAGCTCTGACGAGGATTTTTTAATTTATTTTTTTTTGTTACGTAATTTTTTGATAAATGCGTAGGTTCGCTCCAAGTTAATTAAAAATAATTGAACAAATTATCGTTTTTTTTTTTTAATTTTTGTTGTTACCTACTTGATATGAAGCTCGTAGGAAAAATTTTGTTCCTAACACGTGCGCAAAGTGTCTTTTCCGCACGCAAACACTTATCCGAACTCCGCTTCGCGTCGTTCGTATAACTGTGTTTGCGTGCGGAAAAGTAACACTTTGCGCACTTGTTAGGAAAATAACTATTTCCTACAGCCGTGCGGAAAAATCGATTTTCCGCACTGATATGCGTGCGGAAAATGAGTTTTCCCGCACGGTGCGGTAAAACTTTTTTTTTTGACATATCAGTGCGGAAAAAGTTTTTATTTACAATCATACATGTAATGTTGACTTTACTGACTTTTAAAAAGTTCGAAAATGTCACTTTTTTGACTTTTACTTTCGGCCCACGAGTCGAAAGTTTACTTTCGACCCGTGGGCCGAAAGTAAATGATATTTTTAAAATTTATTGTATTTTTTGACTTTTACTTTCGGCCCACGGGTCGAAAGTAAACTTTCGACCCGTGGGCCGAAAGTAAATGAAATTGTCAATTATTGTATTTTTTAGTTTTAATTCAAATAAAAATTTCAAAATTCGAATGATTGTAAATAAAATAGTATACATACCTCGGTGAAAAGTTTCATTACTGTCTCGAGATTTCAGTTAGACCTCGGCTGCGCCTCGGTCTAACTAAAATCTCTCGACAGTAATGAAACACTTTCCACCTCGGTATGTAATATACTATTCCGCACGGCTGTCAGTGCGGAAAAAATTTTACCGCACTGATATGTCAAAAAAAAAAGAAAAATTTTACATTTTTTCGCCTGTAGGAAAAATATTGTACCTAACACTTGCGGAAAATATTTTTCCGCACTTGTTAGGTAAATAGCTATTGCATGCTATGCATACCTTGAATTTTGACAGTGTTGCTACTAATTAGACATTTTCAGTAATACATATATTTAATTTTAAAATTAGGCAAAATAAAACTAAATTTTTCCTAATAATAATTTTTATTTTAACAGCCTTTTGCATACACACGAAAGTTAGCAAGAAAAATTCGTCGAATGAAATATTTACAAAAAGTAATAATAAATAATAAAAATTACAGCAATAACATTATAAAAATTACAGAAAACAAGTCTTATAGTTAAATATGGAAATGGTTCAAATTATTGACATTAAAACAGTGGCTATCATAGAAAAAAAAATTAACAATTAATAATTAATGCGTGTCTTGAGATTAAAATTTGTTTATTTCAGTTCAATGGTTAAATTTTGCTACGATAATGAATTCTTTGATACCTGATTTAAGTAATAGGGTATAATTTTTTTAAATCACAAATTATATCTATGATAAAGATGAAAGATCCTTATTAATTTGAAATTATTTGTGCTTTAAAAACATTTTTTATTGGAAAAGAAAAGGAAAAATCAAAGGTCAGGCTAGCACTGGTTGATTCTGAGGTCTTCGTACGTAAATAATAGTTGCTAGCAGAGCCATCAGGGTTGTTATTAAGTAGAGATCCCAATCGGACCCTAGGGAATCTACAAAGTCCAATAAATGAGTGAACGGACTCTGAAAAAAATAAAAATATCACAAAATCTTATTAAAAAAAAAACACCAAATACTTGTTCTACGCTGATATATTTTTCAGTATATTTATACCATTACTAAAGAAAGAATAATACAGTGGGTGGTATGAATAAAAACTGAGTTTAAACTCGGAGTATATACTCGTGAGCATGAGTATGAAGTCTGAGCTTATACTCCATTTCGTAAGAATAAAAAAGATTTCGGTTTGATAAGTATATACTCCTAGTACATAGAGTAGATACTCAACATTTTATTTTTCAAACTTGTCTAATGTGTGTGCAATGGACTACGCCTACTGCACATGGAAAATTATATTTTGCTTGCCACCGCTCTTTCGCCTCTATTATATCCGCAGGACTGCGGGGAAATTTGATCCACCGTTCACATTGCTGAATTATCTTATCAGCTACTTCCGATACAACTTTAGACACCGAAGTTTGGTGAACACCAACATCCTCGCCTACTCCTGCCTGAAAGCCCGGGTCACCCACGTATCTTAAAAATATTTTAAATTTGTCTTTGTTGCATAAAGCAACACCTCTTCTTTCTCCAGACTCTTCACTCAAAAATTGATTTGATAACCACTCCACATTTTCTTTACTAAACCGGTACAACGTTTTAAAGTCCCGATCACACGTATTTTTTCTAGCTTTGTAAAATTTTTCTGAACGCAGGTTAAGATTGAAGAACTCTGCCATAGCTCTGCCTTCTACCGAGGGAAAATCGATACTGAAATAACTTGAAGCAGAAAGTTGAGTCTACTGCATAGGTGGCTCTAAAACTATGGAGTAGATTCTCCTGCCGAAGAGCATAAACAATTTTTTATTCATACCAAAAGTGAGAATCTACTCATACCAAATTATACATAGGAGTACCTACTCAATCGAAATATCTGCTCGTAGTTTTTATTCATACCACGTGGAGTATTTACTCCAAAATTTGGAGTAGAAACTAAATGCTCATTTTTATTCAAACCATCCAGTGTGTCCACTTAAGTTCGCAGCATATGGGAAATTTTTTTATTATCAATTTTATGAAAAAAAGTTATTCCTTATAAAAGTTTCTGCTTCTTGAAAAAATACTATTAAACCATTGAAACTTGAAATAGCATGTACAGGGTGGCCCAAATTCGAGCCTCATCATTGGGATCTCGGAAACCGTAAGAGATACAGGGTCGGTTAAATTATGGCAAAGCTGCGCATTTTTATGACCAATAGAATGCCGTTTTGAAATTAGAAAAATTCCGAACACTTCCGGAGATATTCGGAAAAAACCGAAATTTTGTAAAATCGTTTTTATTTTTTCCTGGGCTTATTTGAAGAGCAATTTTGAAATAAAGGTCACTTCATCGTTGTCACTTTTTCCCCTTTAGAAGATGGTGTTACTAAATTTAAAATCCGACGTTTCGTCTTCAGGGGGCCACTTCAACTTACTTTTTTTGAATACGAACCTGGATTTTTTATTTGCGATTTTGTCATCTTTGGGCAGCCTAAAACCGATACTGTTTATAATTTTTCAATAACACAATAAAAAAAGCAGGTCCGTATTTAAAAAAAAAAAAATTAATGATTAATGATGATTCCAGAGGAACGAAACGTTGGATTTTAAATTTAATACGGTCATCTTGTAGAGGAAAAAAAGTGACAATGAGAATGTGAAATTAGTTTTTCAAAATCTTTTTGAATGAAATAAGCAAAAAATTTGAAAACTACGAGAAGTTCATGTTTTTTTCTTATAGTTTTGATTTTTTCCTGATTTTATTTAAAAATATTTTAAAAACTAATTTCACATTCCTATTGTCACTTTTTCTTCTCTACAAGATGGCGGTATTAAATTTAAAATCCAACCTTTCGTTCCTCTGGAATCATCAATTTATTTTTTTTAAATACGGACCTGCTTTTTTTAAAGTGTTATTGAAAAATTATAAACATTATCGTTTCCGAGATCCCAATGATGAGGCTCGAATTTGGGCCACCCTGTACAGGGTGGTCAAAAAATAGAATAATATACAGGGTGTTTCCGAAGTATGGTTCGTAATTTCAGGATGTCATTTTTTACAATATTTTAAGAAAAAAAGTTCCCATAAAAATGTGTCCGGAAATGCGTAGTTTCTGAGATACACGATACACGGTGTCACAGTTTTAGAAAAAATCGTTATTTCAGCTCAAAAATCCCTTTTCCAATATTTTTTTCTTCAAATTTGGCAGGTTTGTTTGTGATAACAAAAGGTATCCTTTGACTGTAATATGACTTGCTTATTCTGAAAAAAATATCGAAGGTTAAAAAAATAGTGATGTGCCATTTTTTTTCTACTTTTACCAAAAAAACCTGTATATTTTTCTATTTTCTGACCACCCTGTACAGGGTGGGCCAATTTGGACACTTTTAATAGGAAACGTCAATTTCTGAACGAGATACAGAGAAATGAACCCCCCACTCTGGGGCTCAAATTTCATGAAATTTTGATTGATGCAAACCTCATTTTGATATCTTTAACCGTTTAGCCGCCAGAGGGCGATTCTCGATTTTGAGCAATACTGTGAAACCTTCATAACTTTTTTGTTTATGAAAATAATTGATTTCCGTAAAGAGTTTCTTAAAGCACTTTTTTAAGCAGAATCCAGTGACGTTCTCAGTTTTCTTCTAATTGACTTCGATTTCGAGATATTTGACCATAATCTGATTTTTTTTTCAATAGGACATCCTATATATTAATAGCTCATTGAAAAGCTCTGGTTTTGCTGATTTCAATTATATAAAATTCGATATTTCTAACGGCTTCCGAGAAAAAAATTATTTCGATTTTTGTCATAAGAAACAATGTGATGGAAAAGGACTTTATATCTGTAAGGAAAACGAGAAAGGTCTCTTTCTAACACATTGTTTCTTATGACAAAAACAGAAATAATTTTATTTCTCGAAAACTGTAAGGGATAAACCGATCGAACTTTATATCATTGAAATTAGCAAAAGCAGAGCTTTCCAATAAGCTATTAATATATAGGGTGTTCTATTGAAAAAAATCGGATTTTGGTCAATATCTCGAAATCGAAGTAAATTAGAAAAAAACTGAGAACGTTACTGAATTTTGGTTAAAAAAGTGCTTCAAGAAAGTCTTTACGGAAATCAATTATTTTCATAAACAAAAAAGTTATGAAGGTTTCACAGTATTGCTCAAAATCGAGAATCGCCCTCTAGCGGCTAAACGGTTGAAGATATCAAAATGCGGTTTGCACCAATCAAGATTTAATGAAATTTAAGCCTCAGAGTGGGGGGTTCATTTTTTTCTATCTCTAAAAATAAAGGGTGTTTCCATAAGAAAGTGTCCAATTTGGACCACCCTGTACATGCTATTTCAACTTTTAGCACATTGACTGCCACGTCATACATTTATGAATGACACGGCCACTTCCGTTCCGGCCGCGTCATTCATATTTGTATGCCGGTTCAGTTTCACTTCTAGGCCATGTCATGCTTTTAGGTATGACAGCCTGTGTATTTTAAATGGAGATATATTTGCGTGGCCCCTGGGGATTCTCAAGGTAAACTTGGCCAGAGCAAATTTTGTTGGGTTATTGTCCAAGACCAATGAAACCAAAAATTTACTTAAAATAGGTATAGTTTTAAGTAAAAAACTGTCAAACACAAAAAAAAAAAACTAATTCTTTCTGATAATAATATATGATGTATATGGGTATATGATGAAATATGAACTTATAATTTACAAAAGGAACAGGCCAAATCATGAATTATTCGCTGGGGGCTAAAAGTTGTATTTCCGTATTTTTTGGCTTTTCTTTTATTTTACAGTGACAATTTACTTATAATTTTGTTTGGTTTTTATTTGTTTGGCTTTTTTGCATTTTTTGTTGTCTCATCCCAACAAACACAGTACGTACAGAAGACGTACATGTTAGGTCCTTTTTACGTCGGTTCGTCCGGGATGTAAAAGTACGTTTTGAGTACGTACGTAAAAAACTGTATTAACATACAGACAAAAAAGTACGTACTAAGAACGTACGTGAAAATCTATATTGCATACGTCTTGTAGAAGACGTACATGTTCGTTTCAAAGACGAACAATACAAGACGAGCTGGATCATTCCCATCTATTCATGATTTTTTTATCAATTCCTGATCATAATATATTTTTAAATAATATGCAATTTCCGAGCAGAATATACGGAAGCCTTCCAAATTAACCTCTAAACCCTACTAAACCAAATGTATGTGAACCAAATGCAGGCTGACGTGGATTCCTATTATTAAACCTTAAATCTAAACTTAAATAAATAAGAATACATTGTCATTATAAATGTTTTGTGAGGCAGGTCATATAATCAAGGATTTATAGTTCATTTAGGTACCTGACCTAAATAAATGGTCGAATGTTTAAAAGAAACATGAAATGAACCAAGAAATAAACCAATGAGTGGAAAACAAGGGACGCCGCCGTTTCGGTCGCTTGGCTACGGCAGGATGCAGTGTGCACTGGGTGCAGTGTTGCCAATGACCCGATAATTATCGAAATCTTCCATAATTTTGACTACGATTCAATATTCAATAATCAGAAGCTAAATCTACCATAAATTATTGAAACTACAATTTCAATGCATATTTTTAAAATTTTTAGTTGAAAATTAAAAATTTATTTGGTTGGTGGTTTTGACGTACTGCTGGGCGCACACCAAACATTTACCAACTAGAAATGAGTTGAGCTCGCAGCACCGTTTCTTTTTCGTTAATTTTTTCGTTAGAAAAATATAAATAGAGATTAGAGATGAAAGTCAAAAAAATTGACACAAACTTCTTCTGATAATTTTGAATTTGACATCTGGCAACACTGGCAGGGCTCATCATTTTGATATGACGCCGTGCTTGAGTTGTTCCTGTTTGATTTTGCCTTTTTACCTCTTGTGTTTGTAGCTCGTTTGTAGTCTGTTTGTAGAGTGGTGTGAGGACTGTGAGGTTTTGTTTTCTTCTATTTTTGTTTTTTTTTGCCAAATCAAGTGACGCGAGAACCATTTTGTATTGATTGCAGCAACGCCGAAACTGTGGTTTAAGTGTTTAGCTTGGCAGCTTCGCGGCTTGGCTATACCAATTTACTATGTATTTTGTGTGTATAATAATACTTTTAACCAATATTATTACTGTGTGAAACTTTTTCTGGTTTATGCCCCTTTACAATTCTCTATCTTATTATGTTTGTAGAATACCTATCTATTTCTGTATATTTTTTTTTGGTTGGAATTTTTCTTCAATTTTCCTTCATTTTTTTTGTTATATTAGGTAGGTATGTACTGTTGTTCAATAAGGTTAAGTTTAAGAGTATGGTATATTTGATATTGTGTTAATTTTTTTCAGTTTTTTAGTGTTATTGTTGAGGCATTTATTGAGTATGAAAATTGTAACTTGAAAATACAATAAATATTTATATGGTTTTATTTTTCACTATAAAGATACCTACACATAAATACGTACCTCGTACCTCTATGTTTAGGGTTTTCTCCATATATTTTTGCACCCCATGTGGACAGGTTAATTGAATAGGTATCAAAAAGGTGTAAATATAACATTTGTATTTACATATTTTTGATACCTATTCAATCAACCAGTTCTGGTAAGGTGCAAAAAAATATATGGGAAAACCCTGTACGTCCCAAACACATTCCTAAAAAGCTATACTAAATACGTACGTTAATGTACGTCCCCAAAACGTACCTAAAAAGCCGTACTGAGTACGTCCCTGAATGTACGTACGTGGGACGCACTATTTTGTGGAAAACGATCGTCTTAAAGACGTCCCTCGTACGTCGGCGGGACCTAAAAAGTACGTCCCCGGACGTACTTTCGTCCGAAAAAGTACGAATTATGGACGTACTAAAGACGTACTTGTGTTTGTTGGGATTCACATATGAATAACGTGGCCGGTGCGATAAAATTTCGTCAAAGTTTTCCAGGGGGCCGCGTCATTCATTTATGAATGACACAACAAAAAATGCAAAAAAGCCAAAAAAATAAAAACCAAACAGAATTATAAGTAAATTTTCACTGTAAAATAAAAGAAAAGCCAAAAAATACGAAAATACAACTTTGGCCCCCAGCGAATAATTCAGGATTTGATACGATTTTTTCATGAAGCAGAAACTTTTATAAACAATAACTTTTTTTCGTAAAATTGATACTAAAAAAGTTTCCCATATGCTGCGAACTTAAGTGGACACACTGTATATAATCACAAGGAGTGTGAAGGGGAGAAATCTTGTCATAAACTACAGGCCAATTACATTGCTTATTATATCAAATAGTTTTGAGATCATTGCAACACAAATAATTAAACTGCTCTGGAAACAAGGGCTTTTTAGTGCCATTAATTTGGTTTTAGAATGGAGAAGAGCACTAATCAAATCTTTTGATGGGATGGAGTGGAGTATTTAATGCCCTGTTATATGACCTAAGTGAGGGTTCTGACTGTGTCAGACACTTAATAGATAAACTAAAAGTCTATATAACTTAACAGCCATACATTTTTAAACATGTATAAAATACGAGAAAAAAAATACACAAACGTTAAACAGGCTAAACACCTACCTCTCCAAGTTTTTCCATACTGAAAACAAAATTTAACTTAAACAGAGCCAGTGCAACAGGAACTTTTGCATCCGCACTAGTTTCAGCGGCAATATCGTAACATCTCTTTGCCAGATGTATATCTTTGCTCATCCCTAGCCCTTGCTCGTGCATATACCCCAAATTGAACATTGCCTGGGCATTATGCTGCTGTTCTGCTGCCACCCTATATTGCGAGGCTGCTGTTTCTAAGTCAACGGACGTGCCGAGGCCATAGTAATAGTAGTCACCAACTTTGACTTGTGCCGCTGAATATCCTTGTGCGGCAGCTCTAGTCCAATACCACAACGCGCGCACTAAGCCTTCCCGAGACTCCAACATCGGGACTTCGCATCTATCAAGCATAAAAGCTGCATTGCTTTGCGCTACTTCGTAGCCTAATTCGCTGAGGAGGGCGTATTGGACGAATGCTTGATTGTAGTTACCTTCCCTGTAGTCTGAATGAGCCTGGAATATATAGATGTATCATTAATTACTCAGTTGAAAACTGCATTATTCCAAAAACCAACAAGAACTCTGACCCAAATACAAAAAAACATCACCTAATCCAATAAATGATATGTTTGTATCAAATAGTCCATAGTTTCGAAATGATACATAAATAGTTAAACAGCAATGAAGAGGAAATATTTGAACTAATTGCTAAACCTACTTTTTGTTTATAATATTTTTTATTATAGATAATAAATGTTAACGGATTTCTATTCAATTTAAAATTATCAATTGGATTTTTCAAATTATTCAATATGTATACCTAAAGTTAATTTACGGGAACTGATGTCAAAAGAGTTTTAACGTAAAAGGAAATTATGTAGTTTTCAATTTTCAGGAATACAAATTAAGATTTTCTCTTTGTTCAATAAATTTAAAGGAATTTAAAAATATCTATGCTAAGAGTCCTTAAGTTAATTATAGGTACCTACCCTAAAATCCATAAAATTAATCAAATAACAATGTTTGTACTTTATATTATTGACTATACAGAGTGACAAAAAAGTCGCGCATAATACCTAACTTTTTAATTACTTCGTATACGAGAAAGTGACCTTGATGAAAGTTGCTCAGTAAATTATTTCCCACATTTCTACCTAAACAAATTGTTTCTGTCACTTCTGGTTTGTTGTTTTTTCAAATGAAACACCGTTTATGTGATTGCATATTTGGATTCTACGTAAAGTTCTGAGCAGATTTCATGTGGATATACCCTATACCTAAGTTTAACTGTTTTGGAAATATTGACAGTTGAAAATTAACTTTTTTCAACTCTAATAGCGTGTAAAACCTAAATGATTAATTTTTTCTCCGAATGACAGTAAAAGCGGCTTTTTAATGACACTTGACAGAATCAAAAGTTGTATTTTTATTGCCTAGGCAGTAAAAGTGGACTTTTACTGCCTAGGCATTAAAAGTGACACTGTCACAACGTTCCAGGTAATAATTTCACTTAATTTGGTATTTGAAATTGATGGTGACAATGACAATTGTCAAAATAATTTAATTATTTGGATAATAATAATAAATGAAATAAATATAAAAAAGATGTCCATGTGTGAATTTGAACATTCGGAGAAAAATTATATGTTTTACATGGCAGAAAAGCAGATTTAATGCCTCGGCTGGTTTCCTAGCCTCGGCTATGAAACACCAGCCGCGGCATTAAATCTTGTACTTTTCTGCCTAGTGAAATAAATAACTATTAGAGGAAAACCTATTTCACATTCCTGTCATAGAAAATTCAAAGTTGGTGGCAATTGACCTTTTGTTTGGACGCCATATTGCGGTGCGCGAACATAGTTGCCAAAAGAAAAAAAACAAAAATTTTGAATGTAATTTATTCAGTAACTTTTGTTTTTAATGTTGAAAGTACGCTAGTAATTTTTTTTTTCTACTTTTGGCAACTATGTTCGCGCACCGCAATATGGCGTCCAAACAAAAGGTCAATTGACACCAACTTTGAATTTAATCGGGGATTAAATTTAATTGGAATTTTCAATCATGGATTAAATTCAAACTTGGTGTCAAAAAATGATAGTTTATGAAAATCCAAGATAGGAATGTGAAATAGGTTTTCCTCTAAAATTAACCGTTTAGGTTTTACAGCCCATCAAAGTTGCAAAAAGTCAATTTCTAATGGGGTAGTATACAAATGATTTTTAAATACTGCGTAGTGATATACTCGACGTATCGTACTATTTAGTATAATCAGTTGGTTTGTAAAAACCGCAATACACTGGAATTTTGCTTTTAAAATTTCCTTTTAGCTCCGCCCCTACGTGAAAATAAAAGTTCGTGACGTAGTTAGTTTTTTAAATCTGGCAACACATCACGGTTTTGAGAACGCACAATTTGCACTGACATTGACCGTCAAGAACGAAACGTCAAATTTACTACATCAAACAACGTAAATAAGTTGACAATGTCACACGATTAACACGACACCACACGTCGTTGAACTGCTGGAGTCAGCTGTCGTTTAGAGGCATTTTGAGGAGCGTTGCCAGATGGTCAGCGGCTCGAATACCATTGGTTACTAATTCTATAGACACTTTGCTGGAAAATAATTTAGTATCCCACTATACATACCATCACCATTTAGCCTATAGAATAATGTCGAGCATTTTTTTTACTGATTTTCATACATAGTATACTACCCCATTGTCAATATTTCCAAAACAGTTGAACTTAGGTATGGGGTAAACCACATGAAATTTGCTCAGAATTTCACGTGGAATCCAAATATGCAATCACATACAGGGTGTTTTATTTGAAAAAACAAATTTGGTCTAGATAGCACAGAAACCAGAAGTGACACAGGCAATACGTCTAGGTAGAATTGTGAGAATTAATTTACTGAGCAACTTTCATTAAGCTCACTTTTTCGTATACAAGGTAATTAAAAAGTTACAGGCATTATCCGCGACTTTTTTGCCACTCTGTATGTATAGTAAATGAATATCACAGCTTGTTCGTTTCTTCTTTGTATGTACAAGGAATTTTATATGGAAACTGTTTAGCATTGTCCTATATGAGACCGAAAAAGGGTACGCTCCATTTTGCCTAACATACAGGAATCTCAAGAAACGTTTTTGAACCTTCTCAATGTGATTTATATCGGGTCTTCAAAAAAAAACCAATCGAAGATTGCTATGGTTTTTTAAACGTATGTCTTAGCAATATTTTTCTTTAATTTGTCAATGAACTTTAATGTCAAAATGTCATGTCAAAAATCCTGACCAATAAAGAAACAGTAATGCGACGTACGTTTTCGTAATCAAAGCAATCTTCGATTGGTTTTTTTTTTGAAGACCCGATATGATAGAGCTAGTGGCATCCAGATTTGAGAAGCATACTCCAAGTGTGGTCTCACTAGAGCATTGTATGGTTGAATTAGTGTTTCCATACTCAGATCTTTATCATTTTTTAAGATGAAGCCAAGGCACTTGTATGCCTTATTTGCTATATATACAGGGTGAGTTACTAGAAGCGCGGGGGTTCATATCTCCTATATTAACAGATCGATGAAAAAACTAAATACAAAACTTGTAGATAAACACGATTATTACATCCTTAAATTATTTTCCAGTATACAGGGTGGCCCAATAAGTAGTGGTGATACAAAGTTATGTTTTCTTTAAATGACTCCCCTTGTATATTGTCAAGCCAAAAAATATCACCCTTTACACTATTCTTATTTCAATACGAAATAACCAAAGTTCATTGACAAATAATGTCCCAATTTAGTTGGGCAATACGGATGTTATATTAAATAAAGCAAACGCATCAGGATGTTAGCAAAAAGCTTAGAGCCAACAACCTAGGTTTTAGGACAATGATTTTTGCTGACATTTCTGAATCGATTTGGATCGATAAGGCGTCATTTTCGAGTCAGTTGTTAATCTAAATTCGGACGCTAAAGTTGTGCTACGGACTACGCTACGTGCTACAGAAAGATGGGTTTCCGGTAAGTACCGTTATATAACATTTATAAATTATGTCTTAGTGTTCGGTTAATCAATCCTTTAGTTGTAATCAAGTAAGTAAGTAAACTTAATTATTCTCGTTGTGTTTTGGGACTTATTGTTTTATTTCATTAAAACCCCAAAAGACCCCAAACCCCCAGTTCCAGCAAAATAGGTTATGACATATAGTGGAGGTGCCGGGCATTGCATAATACAAAACTCATAAAACTGAGCTCCCAAAGACCATGTCCTGCGACTTGAAATACCGTTAGTGGCTTGGATTTTTCTTGAATTTTGACTTGCCAGAAACCCGAAAATATGTCTAACGACGAAAAATATTACGCCTTTCTTAAATATGTGAGGATATCGTCTATGTTGTGGGGATACTATAGCTGGATTTTTTTGTGATAGCATTTAGGCGTCTGTAATCGATACAAAATCCAGTTTCTCCCGACTTTTTTTCAACTAGTACTACGTAATACAGGGCTGGCCCAAGGAAAATGGCTTGGTCTAATTACATTGTATTTGGCCATTTCCGATATTTGACTGTCCATAATTTCCCTCTTTTTGGGATACTCTATATGCTTTCTGTTTTATAGGCTGAGCGTCTCCAATATCTATGTTATGTTCTACGAGATCTGTTTTTCCCACAGTTTTTGAAAATATATCATTAAATTCGTGTAATAAATTTTGAACTTTCATTTTGGCTTATTTTGTGATCTTCCATCGTAACTTCGTCCTCTTTTCCACTTTCTTCCAATAAAAATAGTCCCGATTCCAATAAATTATACAGGGTGTCCCACCGGGAACCACATCGAGCTATACAGGGTGACACAAGGAATAGGGAACAGCCTATAACTTTTTTAATATACAGTGTGATTTTTTAAGTGTGCAACATATGGGGATTTTTTTTTAGTAATAGCACAACCCAAATACAAACAAGGCCAAAAGTTGGTGCATGTCTGATAATCATATTAGGTGCACTTCGAATGGTTGCAAGTCAAACAACATACAGGGTAGCTCAAACAATATCAAAGCTGTACTGTAAAGTACCCTTATTTTAGAAAATTCAGCAAAATGTTATAGAGAAAAGTTGTTTGGAATTAAAAGTTATTCCTAAATACCAAAACATATAGCCTCCTAAGATTTTTTTTATTTTCTTTCGAAAAAAATCTATAATTTATATTTTTTTTATTTTTCATTTCCGCCCTTAATACTTTCAAAAATTAATTAAAATCAAACCCATTTTACATAACTTTGCTCAAATTCAAGCATATTTGTAAAATTAACTTAGATTTTTAATTTTTTATGGAATCACAAAATTCATGTCTGTTGCAATGATATTCAACACAACTTTAAAATGTCGCAATTTTTTTTTTTAACAAGTTAAAACATTACTAATGATAATAGCCATATTAAAAAAACTCTCTTTAAAGTGCAAAAGTTTTATTTAATTTAAGTAAATATTAGTAGAATTTTGATATTTTT